AATGACTTTATTCCACATTTTCGTCTCTACTGCGTCACTTTGGACTCGTGTTCACGACAGTATCATTAAGTCGTTATTTTTGTTTTCTTTGCGCAAAAAAGTATTCTCGTAGCTTCGTAACTTTACAGTTGAACCACTGATGTCACACGGACTACTTTGTCGATCATCTTGGTACTTTTCTGGACCTTGAACGTGGTAGTTACCTTGGTGTCTATGGGAGGGTCAGAGAGCCCTCAGATTTCATCAAAAATATCTTAAATTGTGTTCCGAAGATGAACGAAGGTCTTACGGGTTTGGAACAACACAAGGGTGAGTAATTAATGACAGAATTTTCATTTTGGGTGAACTAACCCTTTAAGGTGAATACAATTTTTCTTTTGTTTTGTCCAATGTAATGTTCTAGCATGAAAATATCCATATAATACCATCTGCCAATGAATAGCAATAGCAAATCCATAAAAATCGTGACTGTGAATTGTTTCATTATTAAAAAACGGGATGGACAGCGAGACAGCTCTCTACAGTTTGGAACAGAGATAACCTGTCTATGTTCAGTTATCTGTTTATGTTTCGCATTTTGAAGTTTTAATCAAATCTTTATTTGTAGGACACAAATGCAGAGTTAGCCGAGCACGCAAAGGACATGGAAACGCTCCAGAAACTGACTGAGGAACTCGGCAAGCTGGGTCCAGAAGGAAGCACAGCTCTTCTTCAGAGCAAGATGCAGAACATCTCTGACAACTTTAATGCTTTTAAAGAGACAATTACTGAGAAGTAAGTGATTATTAAGTAACAGCACTTAGCATAAAAACAATACTTAGAATAAAAACACAGACTATGCCTCAAATTATGATATTGTTTTATTCCAATGTGTCCCATTAATTTTTTATACTTCTCTAGGCTCTGAAATATGTCCCTGTTATTTATTTAATTGGATAAAGTGACGCTAGAACTGTTATAGAATTAAAACCATGTGCTATAATGGAACAGTATTACAAGAAATGTAATATTATTATTTATGCTTTTGCCAGATGTCAAACTATTTAATAAAACTCTATATGCATATGCGTCGTGTGTATTGCAGAAAAGAGGAGGTTTCATCCTGCCAGAAGCAGCTGCAGGAGTTCAAAGCTGCCGCAGGGGTGTTAATGAAATGGCTGGAGGAGACAAAAGAGCAAGTGCCAGTGCTTCAGCCCAACTGCAGTGAACAGGGCCTGGGAACAGACCTGCAGAAAGTCAATGTGAGTGATGGACTTAACTTTTCACCTCTTATTGTGGGACCACAAAACCTTCAGTTATTAACAGATAGTTATTAAAGACTCAAAATAAGGATTTTTAAATCTATTTCCATCCTTCATAAAATCCTCTTAAGGAACTGACATGTTTATTTGAAGAATCCCCCATATAAGGAGAATACTTTTTTAAAGTGTTTCTCCCAGGAAGTGTTTCGCCAGCTTACTGAATCTCAATGCTCACTATTCAAGAATGTGTGTGTCATGTTCTAGATGTCAACAGAAAATGATGAAAATGTCTAAATGTCTCTTAACTCTATATAGATTTTAAAGTTTTCAAATGACATTTTCTGGTCTTTTTATGTTGTCTACAGGGCTTATTGGGCGATTGGACCTCCAAAGCTCCTGCAGTCCAGGATATAAATAGCAAAGGATCTGCTCTATGTAGCCTAATCAGTGTTTTGACATCACCGGCCAAAGCCAAGATACGTCACAACTCAGGTATTGCCCAGGAATATTTTAAGATTTCACATGTCTCAATTCTACATGATTGCTCATTAATTCCACCTAGCGTAAGAGCAAACAGATGGAATGTTTCTCTCTTTCTTTCTCTCTCTCTCTCTTTAGGATCAGCTGTCAATAACAGTTCTGGTCCAGGCAGCCATTCCTATCTGACAAACCAAGGTGAAAGTTCATACTAGTGATGCATTTTTTTTTTTTTTTTGCTGTGACCAATAACTAATATTATGGCCAGTTTAAATGTATGCTATTCTGTCTATGTTTGTAAAACAATAAGCATATACTTTATTTGCCATTAGAGTTGATGCTGGTACAGCAGAACATGTCCTACATTAACAACAATTACGAACATCTGGGGGAACTCCTGAAGGCCAGGTCCTCCGAGCTCGGCGCTTTGTTAAAGAGAGTTCTAGGTGTCCATGATCAGGCTGAGTCTTTACGTCAGTGGATGGAAGACACAAAGAAAACGGCAACATCATTGAGCAACCATCCTTCTGGGAAAGACACAGTAAAATCACAGATAGAGCAACAGAAGGTACATTACATCCATTACTGTGGATTATTTGTAGATGGTTGCCAGGTTGTTCTGGGAGTATAATGCCATATTTCAGGCTATTCCACATAATTTCCAAAATTTTTCTAAACAATCACTGCAGAAAGTCTGAAGAAAGTGCACACATTCTGTGTCAGCCTTCCAATAAATTGTACATGGAAACCTTGACAGTATGTCATTGTAAGACCATTCTTTAAGCTATAAACACTGAAATAGCTGATTATTATGTCTGTCTTGCAGGTCTTTGACGATAATATGAAACAAAAGCAAGTGCAGCTTCAGCAGCTCAGGGAGAATCTGCTCCGTTTAATCGAGGAACACCCTGATTCACCCGAGGCAGAACAGTGGAAGCACATGCTGGCACAGATAGGTATGCATGCATCACATCCAAAACCATTCATCTACTTTTATCTGCTCATCTGTGTGGATGGCCAGCTGCAAATTCACACACTTATCTTCTGCACCAACTGTAAGCTGAAGTGAAGCTCCTGTGAAAGCTCAAGCTGATAGTGGAGGAGTCTGGCCTCCTCCACACACTCTCAATCAATGCTGAGCTAAAGTGAAGCTGGGAGAGATAAAGTGATGTGTACTCTGCTCCAAACGCAGACGCAGGATGGGAGGAGGTCAGGGGCACAATGGAGATCCGGAAACAGCACCTGGAGGAGTCGTCCCGCATGCTGGAGCTCTTCCAGACGACCCAGCCGCAGCTCTCGCAGTGGCTGCAGGAGAAGGAGTTGATGATGGGCGTCCTGGGGCCTCTGTCTGTGGATCCAAACATGCTTAACACACAAAAGCAGCAAGTCCAGGTACTGGCAGTCACACTGTAAACATACATGTGAACGAATTAATGCCATACTTTATTAGAGGTTATATGATGTTAAATGAATAGTTCACTCCAAATTTATTTTAAAAAATTAGTAATCTTATTTCACAATAACAGCATATTTTACATTAAGGTTGGTTTTGTTATTAAAAATAAGATGCAAATTACAAACAATAGGACAATAAAGGAAGATATAAATGTAATAGCTTTACATTTTTCATGTACAGTAAATTGAATACCTAAATGTAAAGAACTGTGTAGACTTCACTGCATTAATCAAAGGTACATTATTGTTAAAGCTACTGAAGTTCTTCGGTCAAGAGCAGTGAGGGCTTTTCTCTGTCTTTTTGTTTTTTTTATAGGCTTATAGCGCTTAATAACTCTTAAACATCAAGAACATCCTGTGCTTTATTTTCTCATTTATGCATGTTTCTTTATCACGTTAACATGTCAATAACATTAAGCAGTCCTGTGTTATTTACATACTGCAATATACATGATACAGCAAAATCTATATCTATACACACTTTATAGAGTCATCATTTTCTCATCTTCATGTTGTTCCAAATCTATGTGACTTTCTTTTGGGGAACAGAAAAGATATTTTGAAGAATGTTCTTGCTGTGCTTTTTCAGTTCTATACAACAAATGTGATCCGAGTCTGCCAAACATTAAAAAGGATAAAAAAGGACCATAAGAGTAATTCATATGACTCTCACACTAAATTTGCTGGGTTTTTTTTTTTAAGCCATATAAGGAACACATCAAAATTAAGTTGTCTTCCTCCGAAAGTCATTTGTACAGTAGCTCTTGTTTGCACATCACACTTGATTAGTCACCAATAGCGTTTGGTATCATTGATGTGATTTTAAGTAAAAAGTTATTCATATTTCAGTGCATCCTCGATCAAAGCAGTCTTCTGTCTTGAGAAGACTTGGAATATAGTACACTGGTCACATGGGCATGTGTGCTTTTGGTCACACTTTATTTTAAGGTCCAATTCTAACTAAACTCCTAATTACTGCTTATTAATAGTTCGTAAGGTAGTTGTTAAGTTTAGATACGGGGTAGGATTAGGGATGTAGAATATGGTCATGAAGAGCAAGGCATTAATATGTGCTTTATAAGTACTAGTAAACAGCCAATATGCTAATAATATGCATGCTAATAAGCAACTTGTTAATATTGAGAATCGGTCCTTAAACTAAAGTGTTACCATGCTATTTTGTTGTTTGTGGAGCTTTATAGACCTTGGTAAAATGAAATATGCTGCTTGTTTCATGTAAACACTTGTTTCATGGAAGAAAGTCAAACCAGTTTGGAATGATGACGACTTCTCCTTTTTGGCTGAAGTATCCTATTATGTTACAAAGATGGAGTGACATGCTGTACTATTTCTTATGCAACTGAAGATTAGTTATCCCTTAATGCCTATTACTTAATGTCATATGTTGATTCTTTGATTAGATTCTCCTCAAGGAGTTCGACAGCCGCAAGCCTCAGTATGAGAAGTTAACCGAGGCGGCCACAGCCATCGCTAGTGCGTCAGAGCAGCAGGATCCTGCCGTAGAGCAGGTTAAAGAACAGCTGGCATCTGTTTCCCAGAAGTGGCAGGCCCTGACAGGTCAGCTGTCTCAGAGACATGCTCTCATTGAGCAGGCTGTCGGTAAGACCACTCAATTCCAGGAGCTCTTGCAAAGCCTCAGTAAAAGTGCCACTTGCCTGGAGACTGAACTTAATAACCAGCAGGCCCTCAGCACCCAACCTGATGAAGTCAAGAAGCAGATTGAAGCCACTAATACAATCCTGGCTCAGCTACGAGAGGAGAAGAAGAGGCTGAAGGAGGCAGAAACTGTCTGCTCTGAGCTCTCTGCCATGGTGACTGAAGAGTATCTCAGAGCAGACTTGACAAAACAGCTTGAGGGCATCACTAAACCATTTAGACAACTTGAGGACAAAGCAGGTATTGTAGTCTACTTCTATCTGCAACATCACAGAATATCCTGATTTTCTATTTGCACACGTATAACTGTGCCAAAACCTATTCAGAATTTAAATGCCCTTTATTCATAAAGTCATATACATCCTTCGACATGTTCATTTATCAAGTATTTTGGCTAATTTGATAATGTTTACCCTCAGCTAAGTTGAATACAGTTTAGTAAGATTAAATCAATTCCACTGATCCCCCAAAATCAGTGTGGAATATGCAAAAAGTCAGCAGAGTCCACCTGTGCTTGATTATACCTGTATATTTCCAAAATGCTGAAACCACTCCTATTCACCTTTAAAATGTATATCCTAAAGACAGAGAACAAACACTGTGTAAACTGTTATCCACGTCAAGTGGTGACAAGTGATAAATATTACCCAACTATGACAAGATATACTTGGATTTTATTTCTGTTGCATAGCGCTGGGTGTCCCCACAAACTCCACATTCTGTAGATCCATAGCAAACATCAGTCAAGTTCCAATTGGTTGTGCTCTTCACACAGCGTTTTTGCTTTCAGTCATTGCAGAAAAATGCTTGGCGCTTGAGACTTGCCATGTTATGCCCTGCTCGGACACAGTATTACATAATTGTTGAGACTTCTTATCTAACATTCTTATATTTTACCTTGTGTCCACCAGGAAAGCGGATTGAGCAGCTCAACTCAGCCTTCGCCAGCTCCCAGCAGTTCCATCAGACATCGAAGGACTTCCAAGCCTGGCTGAATCAGACTCTGCAGGAGCAGTGTAAGCCACAGCCCATCTCTGCTAATGCAGAGAAGTTAAAACAGAGTCTCAAGGAGAACAGTGCTGCTCAAAAGGCCATTAGTGAGCATGAAGAACCTTATAACACCATCATTAAAGAGGGAGAAGCTCTCCTCCAGAGCACGGAGGGGGCAGAAAAGGTGGCCCTTCAGGGACAGCTCTCTGCTCTAAAGTCCAGCTGGGACGATGTGAAGAAAGGTAATGCTGAGCAAGCAGAAAAGCTTCAAGGGGCCTTGGAGAGGGCACTGAAGTACAAAGAACACTATGAGAAACTGAGCTCATGGTTGCAAGAGGTTGAAGACAGGGAGAAGTATGTGAAGCTCAGCGCGAACTCGGTGGAGATCGAGGGCTCCCTCTCGCAGTTGAAGGCCATCCAGAAAGACGTTGAGAAGCATAGAGGGCAAGTTGTGATGATGAACGCAGCTGCAGACAGCCTTCTGGAGGTAGTCACTTCAGATGGCGATTCGGTTAGGGAGGAGAAGGCAGCCATTGGTAAAAAAGTGGATAAGCTGACAGAAGATTTAACGCTCAAAAGAGAATCGTTAGAAAACATCTCACAGAAGCTAAAAGAGTTCAACGACTTACAGAAGGAAGCCAAAGGGCAGCTGGAGGCTGCTAGGAAACAGCTGGATTCTCATTCGGCTTTGGGTGTCCAGGCCTACAGCAACAAGAACCTGACCAACATGAACGCTCAGCAGAACAGCTTAGAGGGTGTCCACAACCAGATTGAGCATCTCAAAAATGTTGCAAAAAGTCTTGTGGTAGATGCCTCTGAGGTGGAAGGTGTGACAGACCTTCTTCTTCAGGCAGACAGCTTGGAAAAAGACCACATGTCAATTACCAAAAAGGTAGAGGATGCTTGCTCCACCTTGGAGGACAAACTCCAGGGCATTGGACAATTCCAGAACAGTATTCGTGAAATGTTTGCAAACTTTACAGACCTGGACGATGAGTTCGATGGGATGGCTCCTGTAGGCAGGGATCTTGACACCTTAGGGGATCAGCAAAGCACTATCAAACACTTTATTGCTAGACTTCAGGATCTGATGACCAACACAGCCAATGGCAGAGACAGTTGCAAGAAGATGCTGGAGTCAGAGGCCTCCCCAGATCACCTGGGTCTGAAGAGAGACTTGGAAACCCTGGGCAAGCAGTGTGGAAAGCTGATGGACCGAGCCACGGGTAGAAGAGAACAGGTTGAGGAGACCCTCAGTCATCTGGAGGAGTTCTACGTCAAGGCGCAAGAGTTTACCCACAAACTGAGCAGTGCCGAAAAACAAGAGGAGTCCCAAGGGTCTGTTGGATTGGAAACAGAAGTCATTAACCAACAACTGGAGTCCTTCAAGGTAAAATTACGATTCATTACATGTCTCACCTTGTTCTGTTCCCCTTCTAGAAGATCCATAGCAGTCACTGACATTTTAAAGGATTGATAGACTGCGAGTAAGAACTGTGCAAGTTGTCCATCTCATGTTTAATGAAAAAGAGTATTGAGATAACATTACTGTAAATGAACATGTTTTTTACTCCCAGATGACATCATCCTCAAAAGGCTTCACTAAAAATAGTAACACTACAGTTAGTGAATATGAAGTAGTCTCACACATTAAAAGTCACGAAATAAATGCTAGCTTTGCATTTTAATATGAAAAGTACAGTGCATGTTTCTACAGTGGCCCCCAAATTTATTTGGACAGGTGAAGTGTGTAATTTATGCACCACTAGTGGCACCAAAAAGAGTTTCAAAAATATTATTATTATTATTTTTTTTTTGTAAGGGACAATGCATGTTAATGAACATTTGTATAAAATACAGAATGTAAACATTGCTAATTTACATCCGCAAAAATATTGACTGTCTTCAAACAATTTTTAGTTACTCCCCCAGTGTTCCATTGTTCAGACAAACGTACGCCATTGGTTGAGCCAGTGTTGTTACTGTATGTTGGGCCTAGTTAGGCCACTCAACCAACCAGACTGTAATTACATACGGTGCCACTAGTAGCACAGAAATTACACTTCACCTTACTTAATTTTACAAAAAAATATGAAATGTATTGTATGTAAGTTATTACATTTAAAAAAAAGGGGCAACTGTTTATTGAAATATCAGAAGAGTTTTACAGGAGGATCTTGCTCATGAGTTATGCTGGTTTTGATCTGTTAGCCACGTGTTAGACCTTTCTGTAGACAGTTCAGTATGTCCATGAGCATCTGGCGCTATCAAAAGCGCTTCAGCTGATGGGGCATTGTTGCAGTGTGCGGTGAGCCAGCTGGGGGCCAGTGGGGTGCCGTGTATGGTAGCGGCCCAGTGAAAGGTAGTGGGGTCTGACTTCTGCTCCTTGCCCTGTTAGCTAGTACTAGAGCTGGCCTCTCCATTCAACTGCGAACAATAGGCTTTTTAAGCTCTCTTATTTTTAGCTGCAAGCTAATTCATTTTTTTTCTGAATTTAGTTTCGCTATAGGTAAAGATTCCATTCTTGTGCAAAATATTAGAAAACTGATTATGCTATATAAACAAATCTGTTCAGCCTTTTTACGTTAGAGCATTTCATTTAGTTTTAGTTGCATTTAATGCATATTTATTTCTATCAAAGCCTTTAAATGAACGTTCTGGGTTTAGTAAAATATAACTTTTTTGTTAGCGTCACATTACCACAGTAAATCATTTGCTGTTAATTATCACAGAAAATCATTTCTTATTGCACAACAATTTCTGTTTGTCTCACTATAGTGATTTCTGTTTGTTTTTACAAACTGAGGGTTGAATTGTAATGATCTTTTGTGCCACAGAGGCAAATGATAGAGCTTAACTTGTAATATTTTTAGAGAAGTTGACGTAATCTCTCAAAAATTACATCTTTGTCTTGGTCAGTTTGGATTCTTGGACCTTTTTTGACTCCATATTTCAAGTGGTACATCACTTGGAAAAGTATGCTGTTGCAGGAATTTCTGGGTTGTTCAGATGGTTGTTCAAAAATGTAGCTTATTCCCCCAAATACCGGAGCAAAATGTTCTTTCTTTTCTTTTGTTATGGCAACGCAGTGTGTTTCTTATCATAAACAGAAGACTTGAAGTAGATTTCTCTGTTCTTGTTATAGTCTAATTACTACTAAAGCGAAATCAAAGGAAATGTTAGGATGGATAATATTGGTATATTATTACAAACCTGCTGAACCCAACATTGTGATATTTACAATATCAGTCCTGGTTAAAACCATTATCAAGACTTAAACTACGATAAAACATCGTCCAGAAAGCCTTTAAAAGCTTGAAGCTAAAAGAAGCTTAACCTATATTTGGACATGCATATGAATCAAACATGGACATCCGTGCGCTGTGTTAAAGCATCAGCTGCCGCTGTTCGGTCGATCATTTGGCCCCTTGTTGTTCGGTCTCCCCCATTCTTTTCATTCTTTCAATGGCTGGATGGGTGATCACGACTACATCAGCTGCTGCTGGAAAATCAGCTTTGTTCTCACTGATACGGCCATTAAACTCAGCAAAATGAACCAGATCATGAAACACAAAGGCAGCTGGTTTTAAATGAATGGTTTTTGCATTTAACATCAGGTCCGATCATTTGTTCATCCACATTTAAAAGGCTGGCTTGCAAGTTTTTGTCACGTGCAAATGGTTGGTCAAAACTTCAAGGACCACAAACTCCTGTGTAAATTGTTTGTAAAATCATTCTTACGTAAAGTGTCACATTTTACATAGGAAAGCATTCATAAACAAATTACACAGAAATTCTGGTTGTTTTATAAATGAGGCCCCAAAATCAAGCAGCTGTAAAGCACAGCAAATGGTCAGGTTCATCCAAATAAATGGCGTCATAGAAAGATAAATCCCTTTTATTTGCTTCATGAGACGTCTATGTGGCGTCAACAGCAGTAAACACATCTCAGAGACATTAGAGACTTGAACCTTGGAACTATGAAAACAAATGTTCTGCCCTTTCACGGCCTGGATAATTTCAAAATACCTCTCTTCGAATCCCACACGTCTTTAACCTCTTCACCTCTGCCAGCTTCATGAGTTCCTCTTTTTGCTGACACAGAGGCAGTGTACTGATTCCCAGACACCTACGTGCTGTTCACTACTCCCAGCAATGCTGAAATGTCACCAAAGACAACACATGAATCACCTAGATTAGGGGTTTTACATATGATAATCTTACGTAAATGCGTCATGATAAATATATATAAATATATCAATTACCATACTTCATATAATGAATGTAATTATAAAATAATTGCAATGTAATTATTTTATTTGATATTAATGCATTTTAAATGTATATACAATGAATATTTCATATAAATTGTTTAATTTGCCATATTTCAAACTCTAAATTCAGTGTTATATTTGCAATATTTCATGCTAACTGCAGTGTCCATGGACATGATAATAGCATTGTAATGGACTCAAAATATATTTTTTACTTATGCATTATTTCCAACTTCAACTAAAACCTGAGCTGGCGCTCAATGACTGACAAAGATTCGTGTTCCCTATAGGGCCCAACAAAAATGAGCATATATACTGCGAGGTTTGTATCCAGGGATTATATGACAAGTAAAGTTGACAAGTACCAGAAACAAAACTGCATTCTTTATTCAGTCTACCCTTCAATCCTTTGCTTCTCCCACCTTGTCCATGCACTTGCCATGAAAAAAGACCTGTCATGCACTTGGCACAGGTTACGGTGTTTCATTACCCCCATCTAGTTCCTCCCTCAGCATTCCGCTGTAATTATGAGACACTGCAGGCTCTTCCGTGGCTCCAAAACACCAGGCAGAGAGGAGGAGAAACAAGGGACGGAGAGGGCAAGAGAGAAAAAAAGCATATCTATTTCTGCCTTGTGTGATGTCATCTGAGAGACTCACTTTTGTAGCTTTGCTTTTTTTTCTCTCTCTCTCTGCCCTCCGCTGACAAGAGGAGGAGAGCTGCTGTCAGAGCAGAAGCACACTAAGAAGTTAAGTCAAATGGGACACGGAGAAAGAAGGGGAGAATTAAAAGAGGGTCAAGAGTCTACCAATCAGCATGAGCCGGCCACCGCACAAATGGAGCTGTGGCAGATGTTGCCTGAATAATGTGAGGGGGGCGGGGCCTTGAGCCCTGTGCCAGGAGGGTGTCTGTCATTGCCGGTTGGACCACAAGAGAAGCAGGACCGGCTTTTTGTTTCTCATGGAGCTTATGGCTTTGTTTTCCCAGATTTGAGGATTTGTATCGGGATATGTCAGCATTATGCATACAGGATGCCTCTGTGTGGATAACTGTACAGGAGTTCTCAGGAAATTCTAAAATTCCAAGCACTGGATGATGACTGTGATTGAGTTATAAAGAACTAAGGAAACGAGCAACAATGACAAGTTGTGACAATGGGGAGAAATGCAAGCCAGCAGGATTGTCATTTTGGAAAAGGATGCATAAGAGGAAGAAGTGATGTGTATTATAAATAACAAAAAATTAAATTTTTCATTAACTTTATTTTCACCATCTTTATAAAAGAAATGTTATATGAATTTTTGGTTTAAAATTGTATATTCATACACATATTCATAAAAAAAGTCTATAGTTTTATTTACTGTTGTATTTATTTTCTCACGTTTTCTTTGGGGTAAAGTGTTGCAAAATTAAAGACTCCCTTTGGGCTTTTTTAAAGTTTCTTTGATGTTTTCATGTCTGTTAGGGAGTGTTGCACTGAAAAGCTTTACCTCATTGTTATAAGTCATAATGGGCAAACCTCTGAGTAGACCAGACTGTCTGCAGCAGAACCCTTCTTGTGTGGGCAAAGGAGAGGAGGAGGACCTCAACATCGATGACTGTTACGTTCCCCAGAGGTCCATTTATGACACAGTGCGTCTGAATGAGCAAATCGACTCGGGCTCTAAGGGCAGCCTGACCTCAAGGCACTTAGTCGGCACTTTACCATATAGCCATCGCAACCTGGACATAAGCGCACTCTGTGGGAACGGTGTCTTGGCCTCCTCTAGTGCCTTTGAGCTCCGCAGCAGGGAGGCGGTGCGTTTTGACGAGCGGGTCGTGTTCGATGGCTTGAAGCTTAATGGAGATATTATCCGGGGTGCAGACACCATGCTGTGCAAGCCACGGCCAGTGGGCGAGAAAAAGGAGCCGGCACAGCATCGCCATTCCTGGCGGACCTTCGCCCCAGCAAACCTCTGCGAGTACGGCAGCTGCAGCGGAACGCTGTGCAATGTCGGAATGGGTCGAGTGGGAAGAGGAAGCAGCATGACGAACTCTCTTACCTCAGAAGGCGACTCGGGTCTGTGTAGTCCCACTGTGGAAAGAGAACAACGAAACCCAAGAGCCCAGAGGCGACCCGGGCCTGGCACAAGAAGCCTTTCTTCTGCTGAGGGGGTGCATGTATCTGGGGACCTGAAGCCAGGGTGTTCCCTCAGCTCTGGTCAGGAAGAGTTCCCCTTCTCCCCAATGAAAGACAGATTACCCACTCCGCTGTATTGCACAGACGCATCAACGCTTGGAAGCCAACAACGTAACAATACATACATCTCAGACCTCAGTGTGGGTCAGCACACTGTTTCTAATAGTGATTGTTCAGCTATAAATGTCAGGACGCTGGCAGAGTCAAGTAGTAAAACACACAACTCCACAACATTCTCAGGATATGAGGAATTACCCACAGCTGAACTTCCTGAAGACAATTGTTCGCAGGGTGACTGTGAGCTGCTCAGTGTTGTGGTGACAGAACCTCTTTCGCATTGCCAGCAGAATCTAGAACAACATGTAACCAAGGACGAAAAGCGCTATGAATGCGAGCAAAGAGTTACGGACTCCAAAATGGCAGACTTGGAGGATTTCTTGTTGTTAGTTGAAAGGGAGGCAGGTTTCTCCAATGGAATAAAACACGTGGCCGATGAAGACATAGAGAGTCTATTAACATCCATAGCCGAATGTTCGCAGGTGGAACTTGTGGCCTTGCCTTCCACCGAGGTACCTCAAAATAGCCGGCGAATGTTGATCGTTTGATTAGTGTTTCCTGGGAGGCTGGATAGTGCCATTCGGCCTTTATCAGATTAGGAGAAGCTGAATTAGGTTTATCATGATTGCTGGTCAGTGACTCAGATGTTGTGATTGTGCACAGCTGGATGTAACCGAGTCGCAGCCTCTCACAACAACCAGTTGCCTGGCGTTAGAGTGCACATAGTGCCCATTTCAGTGGAAGAGCCTAACCTTATAAGGCTGCTGGCTACAATATATCTAGTTACCCTGCTGAAAAGACCAACCTAGCTGGCCTCTAGCATATGTTTTGGATGTTGGTCCCCAGTATGGGATTGTAATAATAGCTACTGTATGTTGTACACATTTATTTGTAGCTTGGTCTTCTTACTGGATCTCAACAAGTCTTTTTTGTTTCATTGTTTTTATCTGCTAATGAATTTTAAGAGAAACATCTAAGACTAATTTGATTCTTAACTGAGAACTCCATGTAGTGTTCTTAGCTTTGAAAGAGTGACCTCAGGAGATTGGAGTTTATTTAATGATTGCTTGAATATTATGAAGATTGAATTGCTTACATTTTCTATGGGTTTTCAGTGTTCTTCTGTATTTATCACTTACAGGTTTTCCAAAAGGACATCATTGAGTCGCTGCAGAGCCAATTGCAGGAGTTGAACACTCTGGGCCAGGCACTGATCCAAAATGCCGCCAAAGGCACCAGCACCAAAAAACTGGATCACGATCTAGTAGAGGTCAACACCAGATGGAACATTGTTCTTGTGTTCTCATTTGACCCATTCTTTTTCTGTTATGGTTTCCGCACCCTGGTTATGTGAATTCCATGGTAATCAGGCTTTAGAGGAGGAGGTTTTGGGCCATGGTAAGATCTTGTACCAGGCCATGAGTCTGGGCCAGTCTCTACGGGCGGTCAGCTGTGCGGATGACAAGGAGCTGGTGCAGGCAAAGCTTGACATCACGCACAGCAGCTACATCGAGCTGCAGGAGCATTGCCGCCAGAAGGCTGAGTTATTGCGGCAGGCCCTGGCTAATGCGCAGCTCTTTGGGGAGGACGAAGTGGCCCTAATGACCTGGCTCGATGAGGTGCATGGCAAACTGAGCGAAGTCTCGATCCAAGACTACACGACGACTGTGCTCTCAAAACAGCATGCTGAGCAGCTGGTACTTTACAAGCTCCTCCTCTTAAGGCTTCCTTCCCCTGTTTTCATTTAATTTCTCTGTCTTCAGTGGTGTGGTATGATTTTGTATCACTCTGTCAGAAGATGCTGGTGACTGATGTATGTTTCAATGTCCAGGCTCTTCATGAAGACATTGAGTTGAGGAAACAAAATATTGAACAGGCCGTCCTAAATGGGTTAGAACTGCTGAAACAGACCACAGGTGAGATTTTAAAAAAAATTAGAAATTCAAATATGTAAAAAATGCAATAACAATTATTTTAAGATTTTTTTTATATTTGCATGACCTGAGTCAACGTTTAGAAGGTTTCCTGATAGATGTTTTCTATGCTGTGAAATTATGTGAATGTCTGTATCATGTGTGCACACTTTCATTCAGGCGATGAGGTTGTCGTCATCCAAGGTAAACTAGATGGAATAAAGACGAGGTATTCAGAGATCAACACAATGAGCAACAATGTTTCAAAGACTCTGGACAAAGCCCTGTCTCTTGCCACAAAGCTGCAAAACACCCATGAAGAGCTGAACTCCTGGTTGGAGAAGGTAGAGTCTGAGCTGGCCACGTTTACAGCTCAAGAGCCGGTCGGAGAGCAGCTCACTCACTTACAAGAGAGGCAGAAGGTAAGTGTCAGTACTGCAGCTGCAATTTAACCCATAGGTAAAAAATTGATCAACTGAGATCTCACGTGTTTCTGCTAGACATCTAAAATACCGAACAAACTGAGTCTTTTAAGTCTCCCTTTCATATGTGTACTTCACAGTTTCAGAAGACTCAATAAAGTCTCAAACTGTGCTTAGATTCGCCAGACCAAATTATTTGGACTATGAAATCCTAATTTATAGCTCTATAAAAATAAATTTTAGGAGAAAGAGATAAGGCAAAGCTGATTTTGAATCAAACATGATTAAAATCCAATGTAACTCCAGTTAAGTGGTTGCAAAGTCTCCTTTTAATGCAGTATGTATGTATGTAAATTGTAAAATTTTAAATGTTTTCAAAAATACAGTTAGAATAATAAGACACAATAGGGATGTTTCCAATCAAATGAAATCAGTATCAACAAAGTCTATCTTTGCACTGCAGAGGTGGCACAGAAGCTGCATCTGAAGTGGCATTTAGATGTGTTCACGCAGACTGTTTAATGCAGCTCAGAGATGCCATGAATGCATTTACACTGCAGTTACAATTGCATAAATAATGTTATGAGATGAATGTTTTAAAAATAAAATATATTGAGTAGTTGGTGGCAAGTCACTGTCTTAATGAGTGAGTCATTGATTGATTGATTCTACCAGTTTGTTTAAAACAGCTGATTCGTTCAAGAACGAAGCAAGTGACCGTCTTTATGAGTGGGTCATTAATCCTTTAACTCACCTGATTTGTTCAAATACACTGAATCATTCAGGAACAAAACACCACTGTGTTGATCAGAGACACAACAGTTCTGCTGGACTCTGTTTGGAATGATTTTTTATTGATGGAATAGATCAAAACAGTTGATATTGAGAATATTGTGTCTAAAATGTATGGTTGTGTGACAAATGAGCATCCGGCCCAAGGCTGCGCTGGTAGCCAGACATGATTTTTGAAAACTGGGCTTGTCAGATCTAAAACCGGACAGATGGCGATATACCATTGATGTTTTGATGCTGAATAAGTAATCCAGATTAATTGAGGAAAATAAGACACTGGCTAAAAAATTAACTTGTTTACACTGTATTTTAAGGTGTCATTGTTACAGCGTAATTACACAAATACGTACTGAGTAATATTAATTAACAACACGTTACTAAAGGGTTGGGGTTTGGCTGAGAAGTAGTTGCTTGTTATTATGCAAAATTTACTCTTATTACTGTAGTGGTCACACTTTATTTTAATGTCCAATTCTCGCTATTAACAAACTATTAACTATGACATTTGCCTCAATAAACTCCTAATTTGTTGCTTATTAATAGTTAGTAGGGAATTTTTTAAGTTTAGGTATTGGGTAGGATTAGGGATGTAGAATATGGGAATGTGGTATAAATGCTTTATAAGTATTAATAAACAGCCAATATGTTAATAAAAGGCATGCTAAGAAGCAACTAGTTAATAGTGAGAATTGGTCCCTATACTAAAGTGTTACCACTAAGTACATGTAACTTGTAACAAGGATGCTGCAAAATAGTGTACGACCAAAAACTCTTCACAAATATTTAATAAAAAAAAACAACAGAAGAAACATCAGTATTTAAAGAATAATATTTAAAAAAGCAAAGTGTTTATGATTTCAATATTAAAATATTGTCAGAATTGGTGGATGTATCAGTTTATCACTACTTCTCTATTTGGCACATCCAGACACTGATGAAGGAGGTTAAGGATCAGAAGCCACTGGTTGACTCTCTTAATGAAGTAAGCAGCGCTCTGCTGGAACTCGTTCCATGGCGAGCAAGAGAAGGCTTGGACAGGATGGTCACAGATGACAATGAGCGCTACAGAACGGCCAGCGATGCCATTACACAGCATGTAGACCAGACCGGAGCTGCCATCTTAAAATCCCAGCAGGTACGGTGGTTCTCAGCTGCTTGGGAAAATAACACCACTCTTCTGTTAGGAAGATTCCCAATCAAGTTTGTTGAAGCACACAATGAAGCGCCTGTGATTGCTGCCAAGGGTGATTGGCCTCATTGTGGTGCTAATTCTTAGCTATTCTTAACTTAATTTATCCTCTTGAGCCGCCTTGATGGTATTTACATAATAAACTAATGGAGTGTGTGACCCAGATTGATTACATTTGCATCACATTAGTCTGTTAGCGCTTTGAGAAGACTTGATGAGTTCATGTATTCGAGTTTGTAAAATAATATATAATATATTTTAAATATAATTTAATGTCAGTTAAATCTAGAAGTGTATGGAAATGTGACACGGACAGTCACATATCAGTCACATATGAATGCTTTTTCTCTGGTGTGCAGTTTGAGCAGGCTGCCACCACTGAGCTTGAGTGGCTGACGGAGGCAGAGAGGAAGTTGTCATGCCTTGGGGACGTCAGGCTTGAGCCGGAGCAGACCACAGCTCAGTTACAGGCTCAGAAGGTCAGTCGTGTGTTCATGTGGTCGTCTCTAACCTGCGCTGTCACAGAAACATACAGAACGCTATAAAGCTCACATTGTCTAAAGCACGCTTTCTCCTCCAGAGCTTCTCCATGGACATTATGAGACACAAAGATGCTGTGGATGCCATTGTGAAGACCAGCGAGGTCATTATGAACAGCAAAGATGAGGCAGAGAAGCAAGCGCTGAGGGTAAATAAAGGAAAATATATAAAGAAATTTAACCTAAGCTGTGTACAGTAGAGGCTCAGGACTAAAATCACTGTGGTGTCATACAGATGAAGCTCCAGACACTGTCAGAGAAATACAATGTGGTTAGTCAGCTGAATTCGGAGCGCTGTCTGCAGCTGGAGAGAGCTCATTCTCTGGCCTCCCAGTTCTGGGAAACGTACGATGAACTCTGGCCATGGCTGCAGGAGACCAGGACTACCTTCACTCAGCTGTCCCAGCCGGCTATTGAGTACGAAGCGCTTCGACAGCAACAAGAGGAGCTGAGGGTAAGACATACACCTGCTGTAACAGCTATTAAAACTCCTTTAGCTGATGGACACTACTCATCATGGGTTCATGTTCGTGAACATTAGCTACGTTTACATGCACTCAAATAATCTGTTTAAAATCAGATTGATGGCTCAATCCAATTGAAAAGTCTTCATGTAAGCACCTCAATCAATCCAAATGACTTTCGATCCGATTGACGTGGGGTGTTGACCTGAAATAATCAGATGAACAGTAAATGTAAACTGTTGAATCGGACTATTTTCTTAATCGGATTCAACCACACATAAGCAGTGCTGTAATGCGTACATTTTTTGTACGTGTGAGGTGACGAAGTGATTCTTCCAGTGTAGACACATTGTAAGAAGTTGTAGACATATGGACACTTATTTGTCATGTACTGTATATATTGTGTAGTTGCTGGTATTTTATTAAAGCAATATGTTGTTTGAGACTGTGATGGTTTACTGTTTTGACTTGTGCTTAACTGTTGCAAAATCACGGTAATGCAGCGCCTCGAATGGCTTAGTGCTTCATTAGAATGGCGAAGAGGATAAAGACAGATGCTATTTGAGATCTGTGTGATATGTTGTCGGATTATGTTTGACCTTAACAGATTTTCTCTTCAGATGATAATGTTATGAACAATCCACTGCTTTTTATTTTGATGATGTTAAACTTTCCGTCTTCAGCAAATGAGGGAGCTGATAGCAGAGCACAAGCCACACATCGACAAGATGAATAAAACTGGACCTCAGCTTGTGGAGTTGAGTCCCACTGAAGGGCTGCCAATTAGAGAGAAATACGAGACCTCAGAAAAACTGTACAGCCAGCTGAAAGTCAACGTCAAGCACAGAGCAGCTGCCCTGGATGAGGCCATCTCCAAATCCACTCAGGTACGGTTCAGTATTTCATGAGTGATATTCTGCCCTTTTGTAGCATTAGTTAAAGGGATAATTCACCACAGTTGCTGGTAGCCACCAGCCCTACTATGGAAGTCAATGGCTACCAGCAACTGTTTGGTTACCCACATTCTCCAAATGATCATTTTTTATATTCCACACAAGAAAGAAACTAATACAGCTTGAGAATGAGTAAACAGTGACAGAAATAAAATTTGTGGGTGTACTATCCCTTGAATGTTCCTCTCTCTCACCATTAGAAAAGGAAGCAAGCTGTTGCTACCGTACCATTCATGCTTAAGTATGCAACATTTCTGCTTGTCAATGATCTCCACAGTTCCATGATAAGATAGACCCCATGCTGGAGTCTCTGGAGCGCATCGCTGAACGCCTGCGCCAGCCTCCATCCATCTCTGTCGAGGTGGAGAAGATCCGAGAGCAGATATCGGAGAACAAAGCGGTGAATGTAGACCTGGAGAAACTTCAGCCGTCCTATGAGACCCTCATGCAGCGAGGAGAGGAGATGATCGCTCGCTCCGAAGGAGCAGACAAGGACCTTTCAGCCAAAGGTAACTATGCTGTTGTCACCTCGGTGTATGGGGCTTGTGTGACTACTCGGTTTTAAAGCAGTGTGATCAAATGCATTCTTTTGTTTTGATTGAAGCTGTTCAAGATAAGCTGGACCAGATGGTGTTTCTATGGAATGACATCCAAGCTCTTCTGGAGGAAAGAGAGGCCAAGCTCCTGGATGTCATGGACTTAGCTGAGAAGTTCTGGTGTGATCACTGTGATTGTTTCGTGAGTATAATTGAGCTGACAGACCACACAGCAGCTGTGTTTACACAGAGCCATTCATTTGTTTCGTCTTACACAGTTGGTTTGAGCCTGCACAACTGTAATTTTTTTAACCATTGGCTTGTAGGTGAATTAACATGCTTTTAGCCCAAGATTTTATTTGTACATAATTCCTGCAAGAATTTACTAGTAGCAGAGATAGTTCACAATAGACTGGCAGTGTTATTATAAAGCCAGTCAGATATGTCTTTAGCGAATGTTAACAGGGAGGACAAAAATCTAAATATCCACTCATTAAGCCTTGTAGTGTAAACGCAGTGCATCGTGTAATGTGTGCTGTCGTGTGTGTGAAGGATTTCAAAGGTGATGCGTACCAGCTACAGATCGAGATGGAAAGGCTGAACCATCAGACCGGACTCCTGCTGAAGAAGGTGGTAGAGGAAGCCGACCGCACTTCCATCCTGGAGCCAATGAATGAGCTGAAAATGCTCTGGGAAAACCTGGATAAAAAGATCATCAACAGACAGGTCAGACACTGAGAAGGATCTAAACTTTAAAATCAGTGTGAAACGCTGTTCATGACCCATTTAGTGTCTGTAATGTGATCTATCCCAGGGTGCAATAGGATATTCAAAAGAGTAGCAGATTTTATCCACTGGGAATTGATTGGATTGTTAAAAATGAGTAACCAGAAAGACTATAAATGTGTATAAATAGGATCAATTTTGATTTCATGTCAAGGCCTGTTGCATTTATTGATTAATCATAAGTAGTTTTTTTTTAGATAACTGCAATAACTGTGCAGTTTAATTGTGCCTCTAATTGTGCACATTTTGCCATCCTAATAAGGGAAATTAAAGCATTTATAGAAATGCCATCTAATGCACAATTAGTAAAGAATAAAGAATACAAAAAAAAAACACTAGTGTAAATTACACAAAGATAGTCAAAGGTCTTCCTTCATAGGAAATGAAGGATTTTGGGTAAGGATGTCCCAATCAAGTTTTTTGTGCCCCTGATCTAATCCAAGTCATTGAATATTCAGTATCTGCCGAAACAGAGTCCCAATCTGATACTTGTAATTTCCTAGTGCTTGGTGCACACTTCAAGTACATTATAGTTATTAAAATCAATCCAATGTATACAGGGCAATGCAAAGAGTTTCTCAGGGGAAGGGGCTCAAATATAAAAAGGGGCATCTATCACAATGGAGTAATTCCAATATAACAATTTCTACGGTAATTATATTTACAGGCCTATACATATTATAAATATGGGACTACTGATATAAACTTCTTGAATTTTATATGTACGATAAGCTATATAATTGCAACAAAATTAAAAAAAGTGGAGATAAGGATAGAAAGCATGACGCTCGTGAATGCCAGTCTGTCTGTGACAGAATTATTTCAAGACATTGCAACATTGAAACGCATTTCAAATATGGGTAACACTTTACAATAAGGTTCATTAATTAACATTAGTTAACTGCTTTAGTTAACGTGAACTAAGAATGAACAATACTTCTACAGCATTTATTAATCGTAGTTAATGTTAATTTCAACATTTACTAATGCATTATTAAAATCAAAAGTTGTGCTTGTTAACATGTATGCACAATGAACAATTGTATTTTCATTAACTAACATTAACAAAGATTAATAAATACTGTAATAAATGTATTGTTCATTGTTCATTAATGTTAGTTAATACATTAACTAACATTAACTAATGTTACCTTATTGTAAAGTGTTACCCCATTATGTGACATATTTCCAGCAATGCTGACTGTTTTTAAAGAAATTTAGACTGCTGAAAAGGAAGTCCAGCCCCAAACTCACACCCCTGATAAAGCTGATGTTGTCAACAATACTTGATGTTTCACTACACTATGCAAATGATAACATTATTGTGATGACTGTTGTGTGGTCTGATCTCTTGTAGCACAAGCTGGAGGGAGCGCTGTTGGCTCTAGGGCAGTTCCAGCATGCTTTAGATGAACTTCTGGCTTGGCTCACTCATACTGAAGAGCTGCTTAATGAACAGAGGAAGGCCTGCGGCGACCCCAAAGCCATCGAGATCGAGCTCGCAAAGCACCACGTACGTCACAGTCGTTGAGCCACAGAACCACTCAGATGTCAACAAGCACTGTTCAGCTCACGTATCGTCATTTCCTTCCATTGGGTAGGTGTTGCAGAACGATGTGCTGGCCCATAAGACCACGGTGGAGGCAGTGAACAAGGCCGGCAGTGACCTCATTGATTCCAGTGCTGGAGAGGAGGCGCGAGGTCTGCAGAACAAGCTGGAGAACCTCAACCAGCGCTGGAGGACTATCCTGGAGAAGACGGAGCAGAGAAGACAGCTTCTGGACAGTGCCCTGCTGCAGGTCAGGAGCGAATACGAGCCAGCCAGA